GAAACTTTTTATGAGATTTTGTATTTGCAATTTTACTTAAAATTAGTATGCGAAGAGTTTTATAAAAGTCAATAATATTTTGAATACCTAGTAACTTTATAAGACTTTTAAAATGTCTTGATTTTATATCGCATAATTTTTAAGGACTTTTAATGAGCCTATAAAATTTTAAATACCCAAAAGTTTTATAGAATCTTAATTGAAGAATTTTTAAATCTATATAATTATTTAAGAGTATAGATTGAATACACTAGAGATGTACCCTTGGTGGGTTCTAAGACGTGGATTCTATCTTCTCTTAGTTGAGTAACTTGATTACAACACATGTTGTCATTGGTTGTGATATATATATATATATACACGCACGCAAGCACACATATGTATGTATGTGTGTGTGTGTGTGTGCGCGCGCGCGCGCGCGCGCGTGTGTGTGATATATGGAAAGGATTTTCAAGTAGAAAAAATGAAAATGGTTAACATATATAGAAAGTACACAAAATTAATTGAAAAAAAAATAAGGTTAAAAAATTTGTTGTTCTGGATGGAATGCCAAAGAAGGTATGTCAAGCCTCATATTTTTTTTAAATGGATTTGATGTAACTCGTTAAAAATTGTAGGCCTTGGATCTCTTCCAAGGTAGGCAAATTTGCTCGAATCATTTACACCTCTAAATAAAAGTAGTGAGAAACGAAAGAAAATAGATAGAAGACTATTGGTTGATATTAGAAGTTTTATTCATGATATATTCTATAAGTTTAGGCTTTTTGTCAATTAAGTTAGTTTCATATTTTAGTATTTCAGTCAATTTAGTCATTTCTTATTTTAAAGATTCTTTGTAAATTAAGATCATTATTATTAATATTAATAGTAGCCAATATAATAAGGTCACATATCTTTAAAATGAAGTTTTCAACGGATTGACAATTAAATTCGCATCTTTTCTCTTACTAGATCAACATATTTGTAAAGAATTACTTTAATTAGTTAGCTTTCTTATCCTCCATCTTATCGATATTCAAGTCACGTATAGATATAAAGAAACTGGGCAGCATTGCAATGTCATCTAAAAACGCGAGAAAAATTATCTTGACTTGACAAATATCACTAATCTTAACACTAAGCACAAGTACCTTACCGTATCAAAAACTATAAAGTATAATAGTAATAATAATCATTGAAAGGGAGAGGGACAAGATCACTTTACTTGGATGTAGAAAGTTGCTTTAAAAAAGATTTTATGGCTCAACATTTGGCCAAAACAATATTTGATGTTATCACAAATTTCTTTAGAGTGATTGAACATGGATAACAGATTGACTGTTAAAAGACTATATGGCCGTAGACACAAGAATAAGAGTTGAAAGAACTTTCCATCTTCTTCATATGGGTATGTCCCCTCTTTACTTCATTTATTCATCAAATTAAGATCCCACTTCACCTAATTCATACCAAGTCATGCCTCACCCCACAACATTATTTTGGCCTAAAGTAACCACCATCATCTTGATTTTCCATTAATTATATACGGACATGTTTCATACACTTATTAGATAGAAATAGATAGTGCACTTAAAAAATTTAGGTTTTCTTTTTTAGAGTGTGTTTGGGACATATTCTTTTGAAAGAATGTATTATTGAATAGTAGATTGATGGAGAATGTGTGGTTAAAAATGAAGGAAAAGTTATTGATGTGATGAAAAATATTATTTTATTGAAGAATGTGTGGTTGAAAATGAGTAGAAGAATGAGA